AGGGTTGGTATTTCTTTTGTTGTGATGTTTTATTTTGTGTGCTTGTTGGTGTCGCGAGTTTTGTCTGTTCTTTGTGCGAGCTTCGGCCCTTTTTCCGCTGACAGTTTTGATGTCTGTGTACCTGTAGCACCTGTTGGTGGGTGCTTGGATGGGTCCACCAGCTGTGGTTACAGGATGCAGTCTTTGTGGTTGTTATAGTTGAGTAGTATTTTTGACGTAACTTGGGACCAAAGGCCTTATGGCCTGCAGCGGTCCTCTTCCTTTTTTATAAGGCTGCCCTACTTTACTGGGGACCTAAACAGGGTCCCTACTTTAGAGAGCTACACATTTAGGGACTCATAGTATCATGGTATAGTGCCGCTGCTTTTAACGGGTCATTTGGCCCTCCAGATTTAAGCAGGAGGACTTAAGGGGTTTGGGGTTTTTAGGGTTTAGGGATTTCGGGGGATATAAAAATTAGAGTAGGGCTCCTTACAACTAACGGTTCGTTTACGGGCTACTGTTAGGGTTTTGAATGTAGAGACCTTACTAATGTGAATACGGTTCTGGGTGGTATATTGTACAACAGCGATGCTATATGAGGAGACATAGGGAGTGATATTGATATTTATTCAGGGTTTTTTGTTGTGGGTTTTACGGTGTTGTGGTAAGGTTACTGAAAGAGTGTTAATCGGGTGTTTCATGAGTTTATGCGGTTTGGTGTGTTTGTTGATGGTTTGTGGTTTAGAGTCTAAAAGGCTTAGGTTTACATAGGCCTTGGGAGCTAGGATTAGGGGGACCTTTGGGGATATAGACCCTCTCAATAAGGTCCCTTTTAAGAGAGCCAAAAGCAGGGTTCAGAAGGGGTACCCTTTAAAGGGTACCCCTAATAATACTACCTAGGCCTGACATCAGTCGATCCTCCAGTTCCAAGGTCCAAGTGGTATATACTTTGGCCACAAAGTACTTGTATAGGGACTACTTTAAGGCCAATGTATACACTGTGTGAGTATATCGACCTTACGGTTTCGTGCGAGGTAGAGACGCATTCCTTTTGAGTGTCTCTTCGACCTACGTTGACCTTAGGGAAGATGACACGGAAATTGACCTTAGGGAAGATGACACGGACAGATCTCAAGTCAGGAACCTTCGCAGAGCTAAACAGATGTCTTGGGGATATCGTCCCAAGCTAATATAATTATATTGCATGGTCCCTCGTTTAAGACGTATCCTGAATCACAGCATAGTAGAATTACAGAACGGGTCAGGCATTGCTCTATGGGTATAGGCTTTAGGGCTTCCAAGCCAAAGAGTCTAGCGCTTATGCTTTAGCTTTTTGTCCATGGGGGTTGGTCCGGGTTCAGGGGATCCCTCTACTACAGGTTGTTTGTGGTAAGGGGTTGCGGGGAAGTGGATAGCGCGAAGTGGATAGCACGATGTTGCAAGTCATGCAAGATTTTGGGCAGCAACAGTTTTAACAAGTAGCTCGAGCCCGACATTACCTGCGACCCCCAAACTTTACAAAAATAGTAGGCGATGACCCCTTTACTGACCTAGGCTATAAACCGTGGCAGTTTACGTAATCTGTACTTACGGGTTTTGGAATGCAGGGTTCAGGGTTCGGGTTTAGCCGTAAAACGTAGGCTCACAGCTTCAGGGCCTAATACTCGCGTCTTCGGCTTAAGGGAATCACATGCAAATTAAAGCTGGGCGTAGCAGGGGATTAGGTTCAAAGTGATGCAGGATTTCGGGCATCAACCGTAGTATTCCCTCGTAGCACCAATTATAACTATAGTACAGTATCCCCTATTCTAAATGTTAAGGCCCTATATTAAACCCTAAACGCCTAAACCCATATGGAAGCTCTTCAAAAGGAAGCCTTTGAAGGAACCCCCTTCTAAATATTAAGCCCACAACATCAAGCTACGCCGGCCCCGATATCTCGAGGTATGAGCTGCGTAACCCGAAGCCATACGTCGAGCTGCGGACAGGCCCGGTTCGGGACTCCCAACGGCTCCAGAACCTAAGCAGTAGGTAACTAATGTAGGGGCCTAATTAATTACCTATACTATTTTGGGGGTTCCTTATTGTTACTATAGTATAATATACATCAAAACCCTATTTTCGTTTAAGGCCCCTACATTAACAGGCAAATAATAGAAAAACAGGTCGACAGATGGATAGTTCGGTTGGCCGATAGGTAGGTAGATAGGAAGAGAGACAGGAAGATAGTTACATGGACAGATAGTAGGTATATCGGTCTTCAGGGATAGCCAGACAGATAGCCAGTTAGCGACATGGAAAGACAAGTAGCTTTGAGATAAATGGGTAGTTTAACACGGTGGAACCATAAGACAGACCGTTCATATGCGCTGCGCTGGTGCACGTACATGTATTAATCTGTATGAACATGTGAACAGAATGAATGTATTCAGCCATGTAGTCATGACGAGCGTATATTCGTTTGTTGTTTCATGACTGCACGTCCACGCTGCAGCACATTGTCAGGTTGGGTGGGTTGGCTCCTGAACAGATTGGGGCGGAGTCCTAGGTGTGAGCATCGTGACTGACGTCAGTACAATGGCCATCACTGCTCCTGATATCCCACTACTGTTACTTTAGCTAGTCTTCTTGGCTTTTGTACTAGGGCCACCAGGGCTGCTTTCGTCGTTCTCATTGCAGTATGAGCGAGGAAGCTAACACATATTAGCACATCGTCATCCTCATGCCTTCGGGTGAAAGGACGGTGACGCATCCTTATCCAGCCGCCTTCCGGCATAACAGGTCTAAATGTGCATCCCATGTTCCAACTATTCGGGGTTCACCCTAGGCCCCTAAACCCCTAAGCGCCTAGATCCTAGACCCTAAAACCTAAACCCCTAAACGTTGCAAGGCGAAGAACGCCGCGAGACGCGACCATGGTCGGACGTGTTTCTGCACGTCATCATCTTTCGCTGGCACCTGGGACCTTATCATTATCTCACGACCTGCAACAAAGGAGCCTCTCTCAGAGCCGTTCGTCCTACACTTTCAACTGCCCAGATCGCTCTACTCCTGTTTGCTTTCTGGTACAAGACACCGAGTCTCTTTGCTTTTCACTGTCACATTCAGGAACCACGCCTTGCGAAATGCACATCACAACCTGTGCATAGGCATCGAGCGAACACCAGTAACTGCACTATTACTATGATCGGTTCTCTATTCATCGCTACCGCAATCACGACATGCTACTATGTTGAAGCAGTGTGCTAGGGCTGGATTTCTTCTTTGCCGGAATCACAACACGAAGACCATGGCGCTACGTAGTTCAATCGAGGTCGTAACTTGTAATGGTGTAATGACTGCACTGACATTGCCGGGTCCAGATTCAACCCTACGCAAGATCACATCCGATCACCACCTGGAGGCGACTGGACTACACAACCATAGTCCAAGTTGCGTAAGTGTTCGCTGAATGTCGTTGTTTTCCTGGGTACATGCATGGATTCAGCTGCACAGCGGCACCAAGCCCAAATAGACCCAGAAACCGGATATGTGATGCATCGCTGGCCCCAAAAACATTTGGTGCAGGATACGGCGCTTTATGGGAGATGGTTGGCTCTTCCAGCAGATCTTATGCAGGCCACCGCTCTCTGGGTTCACCGGATGGCGAGAGATCTAGGAAATGTGGTTTTCCGACAATAGGGGACCCTAATATAGTACCCTCAATAATAGGATCCTCATTATAAGGACCCCAAAACAAGGTACTCCCCCCTATTTTCAGAAGGACCCCAAAACAAGGTACTCCCCCCTATTTTCGGAAAGTCCCAAATAGA